CCTGGGAGAGCACCGCAGAGCCAAGCAGAGCCACGCGGCTGGCTCTTTCCCTATAGAGTAAGGACATAAAGGACACGAACCACATGTGGTGGCCCTTGCCAGTCATCCCAGCAATGTGGAATCTGAGGCAGGAGCATTGCAGTAAGTTCAATGCCAGGCTGAGCCACATACAGAGACACTGTGTCAAAATAAAAAAGACGCGGACAGGAGCGGAGGCAACAACCTTTGTTAGGTAGAAAAGCCCCAACTCCGGGAATCCCAGCCCGCGCCTGCGCACTAGCAGCGGGGAAATCCCTGACTCGAAGAGGGGTTGCTAGAAGGGAGTTCCGCGCAGTTGCCAAGGAGACCGGGCAGTCCTAAGAGTCACGCGCTGCGCATGCGCGGGGTGCTTTGTTTCCTTCACCTGGGCTTTCCCTGTGTGTGGGGGGGGCGCGGGGGGAGCTAGGGTTTCCCGAGCGCATGCGCCAGCCGCTGCACATCCCAGGGGACTAGGGGAATCCTCCACCGCCCCAGTGCCCACGCGGTCCGGGGTAATCCGCTCGAACAAGGGAGGAGCTCCTGGCGAGGGCGGCGGGGGAGGGCTGCCGGCGGGGTCTTCCCCAGGTTTCCGCCCTCGCGGTCGCCATGGCAACCGTGCGGGGGCTGCAGAGTGAAGGCTACAGGGAAGTCGGACAGGTGTGCGCATGCGCCGCCAGGGCCGGGGTTCCCCCTTAGCGCGGCGGGGGCGACGAGGACAAAGGAACCCGCGCGCTGCTGTGCAGAATAGCCGGGTCAGCCCCGCACGGTTGCCACACCTGTTATCCCAACACTTACTGGAGGCAGGAGAATTAGGAGTTCAAGGCCATCGTGGGCTCCGTTAGCCGTTGTGAAAAAAAATCAAAAATAGATCACGCGGCACAGAGCCTGCAGCCATAATTTGGCTCCTCTCCCCGTCCTCCACTCCTCATTTTTCTCCTCCCTCCTGCGACTCCTCATCCTCAACCATCTCCCCAGCTTCTCCTCTTCCCCCCTCCACTTCCCCACATCTCCAACCTCTCCCCATCCCGGTGCCATGAACTCTAGCCCAGAGTGTGTGAGCAAAGACCTGGCGCACTCGCATAGCTCCGCGCCGTTCAACCCGGTGACTGGCCCCGGGGCTGCGCCTTTGATGTCCTCCAGGACCCAGGGCCCAGCCCGTGCCTCTCCGTCCGTATCACTCAGAGGTGTGTGGCAGTGTCCAGAGGGGCAGTCTCCTGTCGTGGGCCGCAGCGCTACTCTCTTTAGGGTTCAGACTTCTTCCTTGCGTCTTTGTTCTTAGTACAAAGCTTTCTTCCATCCTTTGTGGAGAGAGCGTGTGACACACGAGGCTATGGGAACAATGAGCCGCAAGAAGGGTCAGATCTCAGCAGACACCCTGAACACACACTATATACATTCGGTCCCCAGCGACGGGGCTGGCACACTGCGTTACTGAAGTTTCGGGGATAGCCTGCAGAAGGCATGAAGGATTTCTGTGCTGGGTCCAAAGGTCCTTCCCAGGTGTCTGTGTACAGCCCCCCTTCTCTGGCACCTTTATTTGAGACTCGTCCCAATTGCAGCTTCCTCCCGGCTCCCTAAGTGAATTTAGCCTCCTCTTTCTCCTTAAGGAGGAGGAGGAATGTATCAGGAGGGCGTCGGGTACCTGAAACCGGGGCGAGGTGGCCAGAAGGGACGGCGATCGGGGGCGGTCACCTTCAGGCTGTGAATGAGAGGTGGGAGTAGTTGGCACACGGCAGAGCTGGCCAAAGGGTCTAGATGCCAAGCTCTCGAAGCTGGACCGGTTCCGACGGACGCTGGGTTTGGTCAGGTGTCACCCAGGGGGTCTGGGAAAGGCTATGGGGCTGGGGAAAGTCAGGTTGGTCTCCTCGCTTGTCAGGAGAGACAGGGTGAGAAGTGCGGGACAGGAATGTGTCCTGTCACCAGGCTATCAAGGTGTTTCATGAGTCAGGGATTGTAGGGAATCTAAGAATCGCGGCTGGAGGACTTCATTCAGGGCAGTATAAGGTTCAGGGTTCCCCACAGCGATGGGAGTCCTTTGTCGTCCCTCCCTCGAGCACTCGACCCAGAAGTCCCCCTTTCTGTCTTGTCTCTCCCCGCCCACCCGCGGTTCCGCGGTGGGAGGGGCGCTCGTAACCCGCGCCTGTCGCCAGCGCATCCCAGCCCCGCCCGTCCGAGGAATCCCCGGCCACCGCGGGAGCGCGGCGTAGCTCACGACACGCTGCGGGGCTGGGGGACTGGCGAGAGGGGAACGGCTATTTTTAAAACATATGGAAGAAAAAATACAAAAAAAAATAACAACAACGAAAAATGATGGAGACTCTTAAAGGCCTCCAGACTCCCGGGAGGAAATCCCCCTGTCTCAGGCGGTGGCAGAAGGTGGGTGGGTGCTCAGGGGTGGGGCTAGGAGGAAGGGCTGCGGGGGGGGGGGGGGTCGACACTTAGAGGACAAAGCAAGACAGAGCCAGCAGCCCA